ACCACTTTAATAGCAAAATTATTTTGAGAGCAAATTTTTAGGTGGTTTTTGAAGAAAAAAATTTAACAATTGGTCAACTGGTGAGCAATGACGAAATAAGTGGTCTTCAAGTTGAACCACAACTTTATGCACTTGGCCTTGATGATAAGCTTTATACAGCACTAATGTTCGGTAGGTTAAACTATAAATCGTTCTTTCTCTTTTTTTTTTAAAGTTTCTTAAATGTTTATTTGTAGCAGAATATAACAGATGTTTTTTTTTTTAATTTTCTTTTTGTTACAAATCTTCTTTATTGATATTAATCGGTTGTGAACAGAATTTTTGGGTGATTAACGGTGTCAGTACTGTTTTCTCATCGGATTCATCAGTTTTTTTTTTTCCTCTTACCACAGTTTCTGTGTGTCAGTGATTGTATTTATCAGTTTACAGATATGACTGATGGTGGTGATGAATCAATACTGTTATGGTTTGCTCCAGATGTACCGTCATATGATGGAAAGTTAGCATTTAGTAAACAAAAAAAAATTGGTATTTCTTATCATGGACCAACCGGAAATGAATTCCCCTATGGTCGGTGACAAAATGAGTAATTTGTTTAAACTTTAAAATAAAAGAAAAAAAAAAGAACAAAAATCAAAGAAAAAAAAAGGGAAAATTTTTTTTTTTTTCTGCAAATATTTTTAGCTACAAACAGTTTCTAAAATAAATGAAGCCAATAAAATTATTAACTTTTTTTTTCAACTTTTTTTGATTCTTTTTCAGCTATATTTCTTTATTTGAATAATAGCCGAATATATGTGCTATTGTTGAGTGAAATTTTATTTTTTTTTATATATATACGACAATAAATTTTATGAGCTAATAAAAACAAATGACAAAAAAAAAAAAAAATTAGAGAAAGTTTAGTTAAATTTAATTCAATTTTTTTTTCTTTATAAGTAAAGATTAAGTCTTCTTTTTGTTTTTTTTTATTAAAGAAATAAAATTTTAGGTACTCATATTGTTGTTGCAGTATTATTTGAACAAAAAGACTATTGGCCCGAAAAAGATGTAAAAAAGCTTAATGCTAGAGAAAAAGTTAACATTAAGGCTTGGTTAAATTCATCATCTAATATTCTGGTAAGGGAACCAGTAGCCGGAACTATATTTGGAGTATGTTTTTTCTCATTTACTATATAAATAAAGCAAATAGTTTTTTTTTTCTTGTCAGTGATTATATTCAAAAGAAAAAAGAAAAAAAAAAGACCAACAAATTTGAATCAAAATTTATATTGTTTTGTTTACACTGTTGTGACCAGTGGACAGTGTATGGATATTTGGCTTTGAATCTTATAGTACTTTTGGTTCTTTCTTCTTTTTATCATTTATTTACTGGCATTTTTACTGTTTGAAATCAGTTCTGCAACATTGTTGCCAAAATTTTAAAATTTGCTATCTTTTTTTGCAAAAGAAATAGCTTATACACCAGAATGAGAATAGTTGAATTCCGATAAATAGATTGGTCTAATTGATCAAAATTTGCCAGAATAGATTTGTCTATCAATAACTGTTGCATATCAGATACAGAAATTTTAGTCGTTGTAGAAGATGGCGGCTTTAAAAGGTGTTCATCAACTAAAATTTTTGCTGTTTTAGCAATTATTTGCTGATATTCTGATATTCCTTTAACATATATTCTGTCAAAACTGCTCGGTTTTTTTTTCTTTAGATTTTGAATAATTCTGACCAAGAATTTTACATTTTATTTTTTATTTATATTAATTTTTTGTTTTTTCAGTTTACAAGTGTAGCCGATGATACAGATGAAAATGTGGAAGTTCCAAGCAGTACACTGTTTTAGAATGTGCAAAACCAAAAACTTTTAATAGTCTCTTATTAATTTCAATTCGTCGTTTTCTACTCATTTTTCTGTTTTTTTTTCTTTTTTTTTTTTTTTTTTTTTTTTT